GGTGTTGCAGTTCCTCAGTCCAAAAGAAGTTAAATAAAGCGCATCCATCCATAATAAAAAGTCCGACATCTTACGTCATCCTCCCGAAGCTGCTTCCGTGTACAACTGTTGGCGGAAAGTCATATACACCTAGGATGCCTCGATGGCGAGTAATTCATGAGCTAATTTTCATTTTTGGGTGAACTATTCCTTTAACAACTACCTTACTAACTGTTAATAAGAAGCAAATGAGGAGCTTCTTGATGCAAAAGTCGTAGTTAATAGTTAGTTAATAGTGAGGATTGGTCCCCTGTTAAACAAAACCAACAAACAAAACTGTTTTTGGCTGTATATGGTTCTTGAGTTGCCTAGATAGTTCTTCAGAGATTAAAAAGTTGCTGCAAGATATTAAAGGTTTTTGAAATGTAAAATAAAATAAATAAATTACTAAAATAGGTTAAATTTTTTTTTTTTTATCTACATATCACGTGACCATTAACCGACATAAAAGAACAGTGAACATGCAAATATGTTGTGAAATAATTGAAACAGCATTTATTTGAAATAGAAATCTTTTGTACCATTATAAACGCCTTTTCTGTTACTTTTGATCATTTTAACTTCTGTGCCACCTTTGCAGTGCAATTAGAAATAGTCAACCACATTTTTTAATGCAGAAGTAGCATAAAAGTATCTAAAGGATAATGTTGCTTTAAAAAATGGTACAATATCATTTGTTTTCATTTAGGAGTAATGCAGTAATGAAACCGTTCTCTGCACTGCAGTCTCATTCTGTGCATCTTTCTTTCATAAAGGGAGTTGTGCGGATTCACCTGCTGGAGGCTGATGGTCTGGCTTCGAAGGATAACTATGTGAAGGGTGTGATGGTGGGCATGTCTGACCCATATGCCCTGCTCAGAGTCGGGCCGCAAACCTTCAAATCCCGCCATCTGGACAACACACTCAATCCCAAATGGGATGAAATGTATGAGGTGGGTGTTAAAGTGACACCACATTATAATAACAAAAAAGCAATAAGCCATTTATTATTATAATATCAATGTGTGATGTAAATGTGATAAACATCTTAATCTCATGAGTATTTGTCTTTCAGTTCAAATGTAGAACCATTTACACTACATTTTGTCATTGATTACCCATGCTGTTACTGTAGGTGTGTGTTTGGTGTTTCATGCATGCATGTGTGTCCGTCAGGTCATCGCTCATGAGGTGCCTGGTCAGGAGCTAGAGGTGGAAGTGTTTGATAAAGATGCTGATCATGATGATTTCCTGGGCAGGTACCATATCACCGCATTTCTTTTCTGTCCATCCATCTCTCATTTATTCTTTAAAAGGTGTTTTTTGCTGTTTGCTGATATTACACTATTCTTATCCTTGCGTTGATTCTCTTTATTCCACTCGTGCTCAGGACAAAATTAGATTTGGGGATTGTGAAGAAATCTAAAATAGTGGATGAGGTGAGAACCTTAATTAATATTCCTGTGTGTGTGTGTGTGTGTGTGTGTGTGTGTGTGTGTGTGTTTGTGGCAGAGAAGGACGAGACAGAGATGTGTGTGTGTGTGCGTGTGTGTGCGTGTGTGTGCGTGTGTGCACGTGTGTGCGCGTGTGTGCGCGTGTGTGCGCGTGTGTGTGCGTGTGTGTGTGCGTGTGCACTGATCTATGTTCACTTTTCTTGCATAATAAAATAATTTCATCTGAAATATTTAAAGTGCATTTTATTTATTTATTTGGTAAGTAACAAGTGTAATAAGTGTGATAAGCTGCTCATTATTGCAAAATAAACCCCTGAAAAGGCGATTCTATCTTGTATCAACCTGAAGGGGTTTATTTTACAATAATGGGCAGCTTAGTTAGTGAACATTGGTGTCTTTTTTCATAATGTCGGTCATAGGTTTGTTGTAGCCTGTCTTATTGGTGTTTGTTTCTGTTTTAATGTCCCCTTCTTAGTGGTTCACCTTGAAGGACACCCGTACAGGACGGGTTCATCTCAGACTTGAGTGGCTGACACTAGAAGCAGACACAGAAAGACTGGAAGAGGTAACACCGTACATACACAGAGCACAGGGGGTTTTGATGGAAAAGGGTATGCTCTGTTCAACGCACATGCAAACCGTGTGTTCCTCTACTCCACCCGTTAACCAATCCCAGTTTAGAGATCAAAAGCTTACTTCGCACGCTTGGCAAACAGAGTGATTTCAAACAGAATTTCTTGCAGTTGGTTCGCCCCTCCCTCCATTGCCAGTGTATCTGGACAAGGCTGAGGCACTTCCTGTGAGTAATACTCTCACATCCTCTTCCTGCTGCACTCTTTGTTCTAACACACACACACCACACACTATAATTTGGGCAGAAAATTCTCCCCACAGGTGTCCTAAATCTGGCTTGCTTTTGGTGACTTCTGGGCATGTCATCGATTGGAAAAATGATTCTTAAATAAACTAAATTTTGCTTTTTTGAAAAAAGAAAATAGAGGTCTGCTACCCGACCCGAGCCCGACGGGTCCCGAAAACTTTCATCTCTCTCTCTCTCTCGCGCGCGCACTAATTCAAATAAATTATATAATTAATTAATTCAAATAAATGCAATCTTACCGCACTGCATCTCTGTGTCTGATTTAAAGCAGGCCGAATGCTAACGAGCCTTAACTGACGAAAATGACCATAATTTGCACGATGGAAGAATTATCGTCTTGTCGTATACAACCATTCAAAAACTCGGCAGAATTTATGTGACCGCTGCACCTGATGTTCATAAACTTTCATAACTGGTAAGTGTTTTTTCTTTTGCCTTGTGAACTGGCCGAGCCTTAATGATTCTGTTTCTTTACATGTATTTGCTTACTGACCATTGCATGCAATCGTGAAATACAGCATTTTTTTTAATTGGCTATTCATTGTGAAAAAAAAAAATAAAAAAGATTTCGGGTCGGGTTCGGGCTCTAAATTTAACTGTCGGGTCGGGTCAGACGATCTCGGGTACGGGCCGGGTTCGGGCTTCACTTTAAAGCCCGTGCAGACCTCTAAAATAAAAAAAAAGTTTAAAATAAAATTATATAATGCTCTTATAATTAGCTTTATAGGACAACAAAAGAAGTTTAAGACTGCATTTATTTGCTCAAAAATAAAAAATATGATGAAATATCTGTACAATTTCAAATAACCATTTTGTATTTTAATGTAAGTTAATATGTCATTTATTCCTGTGATGCAAAGCTGAATTTTCAGCATCATTACTCCAGTCTTCAGTGTCACATGATCCTTCAGAAATCATTCTGATATGCTGATTTGCTGCTCAAGAAACATTTCTTATTATTATCAATGCTAAATACAGCTCATATGCTGCTTCATATTTTTATGGAAACTGTGATTCTTTTTTTTTTTTTTTTCAGGATTTTTTTGCTGACTAGAAAGTTCAAAAGAACAGCATTTATTTAAAGGGGTGCTATTATGCTTTTTCACTTTTTCAACATTAGTTAGTCTGTAATGTTGCTGTTTGAGCATAAAAAAGATCTGCAAAGTTACAAAGCTCAAAATCCACTTCAAAAGGAGATATTTTATTTAACAGAAATCACTTTTCAAAAACAAAGAACGACTCGTTTGGACTACAACGCATATTTTCCGGGATTTGTGATATCACAAATATCGACGAATGGGACGAGACCTGGTTGAGCTGCACTAGAGAAGGCAACGAGTGTTATCACTATGTCGGAGACACGCTAGCTTTCCCAAGGCAGACAAACTTGGTTACAATCATCCGGGTTTAAATCGCGCTCAAATTGATTTGATTTTGACGCAATATTTACACTGAAGCTCTATGTAAGGGGCATGACATTTCCCGACCAGGCGTTGAGTGGTGCCAATCACAACACACACTGGCCCAGCTAACCAATCACAGCACATTTCATATTTCAGAAGGCGGGCCTTCATTTGATACAGGAACTATTCGAGCCGTTCATGCCAGACTGCAGAGAGAGGTGTTATAATGTTAAAAAATAATGTTTAACATCATAAATGCCACTTTTGATCAATTTAATGTGTCATTGCCAAATAAAAGTATTAATAAAAAAAAAAAAAAGATTGGTAGTGTATGTGGGTCTGATTTTCCCGTCTTTGTACCTGAAAAGGAAGTGAAATCAGAACTTACCCTACTGTGGGGACGAGTTAACGGTCCCTTTAGGGAAAATTGCTTAATATATACATACTAAATAATGTCTCGATGAATGTCAGAAAATGCAGAAAGGTTTCTGTGTAGAGTTAGGATACAGAAAACATCATTAGCTCAGTAAAACAAACAACAGAAGTCAAAGGAAAGCCCCACCATTATTGGAAAAACAAATGTGTGTGTGTGTGTGTGTACATACATGTTTTTCTATCCCGGTGGGGACATAAACCTGAATACACACAGACTCATGGGGACTTGTGTCACCGTGGGGACCTCAATTTAGGTCCCCATGGGCAAACAAGCTTATAAATCATACAGAATGAGTTTTTTTGAGAATGTAAAAATGCAGGAAGTTTTCTGTGAGGGGTAGGTTTAGGTGTAGGGCGATAGAAAATACAGTTTGTACAGTATAAAAACCATTACGCCTATGGAGAGTCCCCACATGGATGGTAAACCAGATGTGTGTGTGTGTGTGTGTGTGAGAATACCTCTGGTTACCCACAACCTGCCATTTCCCTTTTATGTTTGGCAGCAGACTGGCAGACGCCCATTCTGAAACAGAGTAAAATAAGGACTGCAGCCATGTCTACAGAAACTATTAAGTGTAACTCTAGATTATATATCTTCACCTATTCAGCTCATGGCCTTGATAGAGCACTTTGTGAAAGCACTTGCACCATTTCCCACATCCAGAATATTTTCCCAGAAGTGCAAGGGCGAAAGAGTTTGCTGAGAGGAACACACTGATACTTAAAACTCTTGAAATAAGTACACACTTGTGTCGAGTGAACATCCCAGAGCACTCACGCTTCCAGTGCTGTGGTCTGGAGGATTTCAAATCAATGTTCTGGCTTCATTGTGAGCTAGGCTTTGCTGCTGTATGCTGTCGGTGATCACACATAATAATTTAGACTCGTTCCTCGGTTCTCAAGCAAAAAATGGTTTTACAGTAATGCACTTACTTGTGAGAAAAGTAAAAAGCTGCACCTGAAATCATGTACTGTTAGTAAATGTTCTGCATGTGACAAAGAACTTAATTCTTGGCCATCAGTAAAGTGCGGTTTATCATATATGCATTCATGTAGTATGAATATAGTAGTATATCAAAATAAGACATATAGTGTTTCATGAATGCTGGATATTTACAAATGCTACTCATTTGGCATACCGCTTTTCTCATGATGTTCAGATGAAGGTGTACAGTATTTTGAGTATGTAACCATAAGATGGATGTAATATTCAAAAGTTTGGTGTAAGATTTATTTATAAAAGAAATTAATACTTTTATGCAGCAAAGATGCATTCAATTGTTCAAAAGTGACAGTAAAGCCAATTACAATGTAAGAAAAGATTTCTATTTCAAATTAATTCTGTTCTTTTCGGCAAAGAATCCTGTTTCCTCAAATACACGAAGCAGCGCATCGGTTTTTAACATTGATTATAATAAGAAATGTTTCTTAAGCAGCAAATCAGCATATTAGAATGATTTCTGAAGGATCATGTGACACTGAAGACTGGAGTAATGATGCTGAAAATTCAGCTTTCCCATCACAGCAATAAATTGCATTTTAAAATATATTAAAATAGAAAACAGTTATTTGAAATTGTAATCATATTCTACAATATTACTGTTTTTACTGTATTTTTGATTAAATAACTGCAGCCTTGAAGAGACTTCTTTCAAAAACATTACAAAATATTATATCATAGAGTCGCTTGCTAACTGTATTTCTGTAAAGTTTTATGAATTAGTTAAACAGTTAAAGCAGGAAATCTAATCATATTAATGACAAAATGATAAAAGAACTACAATGCATTTGCTGCGGTGTGTTTGTTTTTAAGTGTATTTGTGTCTGTGTTCAGATGAAGAAAGGCAATAAGGATCCCAATCCGATCGTTCAAATCTCAGTGCAAGATGTTACTCATGACAGCCGGGTAAGATGCACACCTACCATCCGTCCCATGTGACTCGCTCTTCTCGCTCACTCATTTCCCTTCCTCTTAGATTTGCTGGAATACCGTGAACCCCCAGTGGGAGGACGCTTTCACTTTCTTCATCAGAGATCCAAGCAAACAGGATATTAGCATACAGGTATGCTAACATCATCTGCCTGGAACTAACATTCGTCTGGTCTGATCTGTTTATAAACCCACAGCTCTAAAGGCTGCTGTAAACGGGGCTCTTATGTGAATGCTTGCAGTATTTTTTCCACACCTGAATTTTGCTAGTTCACATTCATGTTACTGAAGCCATTTTTCCATCTCTTTCAGGTGAAGGATAATGACCGTGTTCAGGATTTGGGAAGTCTGTCCATTCCTGTTTCCCGTCTTCTCTCTTGTCAAGATCTGAATTTGGACGAGTGGTTTAATCTGGAGAATTCGGGTCCAGAAAGCCGCATCCACATCAACACAGTGCTCAGGGTAAATTCATCTGACACACAATACACAATAAATATTATTTTCTTCTTATTATCAATGTGTGCTGCTATTTTTGTGGAAACCAAAATTATGATTATTTTGATGAATAGAATGTTCTAAAGAACAGCATTTATTTGAAATAGAGATCCTTTGTAACATTACGCATGTCTTTCCTGTCACTTTAGATCAATTTAAGCATCTTTGCTGTATAAAAGTATTCATTTATTTCAAAAAACAAACATGGTACTCATCCCAAACCTTTAAACAGGAGTTGATGATGTTATACAGATTTCAAATGCATTATATTTGGGAAAAGAGTCTCATTCTTTGTTGATGTCATTTCCTGCAGGTGCTCTGGTTGGATGAAGCCGACGTAACTTCCTCTCTCCTCTCCAGTGACCCTCTTTCAAAGAGTTCTGCATCACGTCCACAGAAGACGATGCCCCATTCCAGCTTCGCCACTGAGGTGTCCATGAGTCAGCACTGTCAATATCTCTATACTATTAATAATGTATCGCATTAGCCATACGAGTACGATATGTTCTGAAATCAGCATCCTTTAATGGTCCAATCGATCATAACCAACCTCTAAAATCATCTGCTCTTTGTTCCTGTAGGGGATGCTGCGTATCCACCTCGTAGAGGGTCAAAATCTGGTGGCGAAGGACAACATGATGGGTGGGATGGTGAAGGGCAAGAGCGACCCGTATGTCAAGATCCAAATTGGAGGTGAAACCTTTAAGAGTCAAGTGATCAAGGAGAACCTCAGCCCCACCTGGAACGAGATGTATGAGGTAGGAATGCTGGGAAACACATTTAGAAATCAACTCTAGACACTATGTCGGGAATGGTATGCTACGGTACTACTCATGCAATTTATGCAGTTTGTAGTATGTATATTCTACATTTTTATTAGGCATGTAGGCTTTTGCCTAAAATGTGCTGTATACAATTAGAGCAGACTGCATGGAATACTTTATCCCATGATGCATTGCGCTCGACTTGATCTTTCATTTCCAGGAGGACAAATGAAACTGAAATTGATTTAAACCACAATTTTAACTAATGTTATTTTTTTTTTATTAGACTGCTAAAGTCATTTTCTTAAAAACTTGAATTCTTAATATAAAATAACCATATTTATTTCCAAACATAACTGGATATGACATATTAAATTAAATGTACATAATATATTTTATATATTTATATTTATTTGTTTTAAAAATGTAATATGGTCATGCAACAGTGTTTAAAATGTGTATTTTTGCATGTTGCATGCTGTTCACAATGCAATTCAAAAGGCTTTACAAGCATAAAGATGTAATTAAAAATAATACTAAAGTAGTTTATAATTAACTATAAAAATAACTGTTGCATGTCAGCAGATATGTACTGTTTACATACGGTTCTTAAAATAATAATTAAAAAATGCATTTAAAAAAAGATAGTAGTCTGTATACAGAGCATACTGCAAATTAAGCCCTATGCAGGTGTTCAAAACATTTATTTGTGGGACTTTTTCCTTATTAAATGAAAATAATGCTAAAATAAGTTGTAAACACAACAATAGTGTTTAACTATCTAACAAAATATAAAAACAAATAATA